GGTTGATAATCATCAACATTATCGATTCATTTGCGAGAGATGYCTMAATTCTTTCAAATCKCAAGAATCTTTAGATAAACACTCAGAGTATTGTAAGAACGMAGATGCTATCAAAATGAGYCTTCCTAAAAARGGRACAACTCTTAAATTCAAAAATTACAATCACTCAATGAGAGTYCCATTTGTAATATACGCTGACTTTGAATGCTTTACAAAAAGATTAGCATCRTGCCAGCCAGATCCAAATAATTCATATACCGAAAAATTTCAATATCACAAACCATCAGGATTCTGTTATTATTTAAAAACCATCAATGACATCTACGAACCCAAAATGGTCTCATATACGTGTAAGAAAGATGAAGACGTCGGGCAAAAATTCGTAAATTCAATCGAAAAAACAGTTAAGAAACTATATTCCAATATTTGGTATAAAAAGGTCAAAATGACYACCGCGGATAAAGAAAATTATAAAAATTCAAAATACTGCCACATTTGCGAAGGTGAGCTAAAAGARGATAAAGTTTTAGATCACTGCCACTTAACTGGTAAGTATAGAGGTGCGGCTCATAATGTCTGTAATTTAAATTATAGAATTCCAAAACATATCCCAGTTATATTCCATAATCTCGCCGGTTACGACGCCCATTTATTCATAAAAAATCTAGGCGTCTCTGATGGACCGATAAACTGCATTCCAAATAACGAAGAGAAATACATCTCATTCAATAAATTGATAAAAATAGGTGAGTTCGAAAAAGATGGTAAAACATTTGAAATTAAAAGAGAAATTAGATTCATCGACTCTTTCAAATTCATGGCGGCCGGGCTGGACAGGCTGGTGGGAAATCTAAAAAATGAGAATTTCAAAAATATGAAGTGGATGTATGATGATATTGAATTATTAGTAAGAAAAGGTGTATTCCCTTATGATTATTTTGATTCAGAAGATAAGCTAAAAGATGAATGCTTGCCGCCTAAAGAAGAATTTTACAGTAAATTAAATAACAAACATATTTCAGATTCCGATTACGAACACGCACAGAAAGTCTGGCGTGAATTTGAAATAAAAAATATGAAAGAGTATCATGATTTATATCCCGATTGTGATGTTCTATTGCTAGCTGATGTATTTGAAACTTTCAGAGACGTTTGTCTTAAGAATTACAAACTAGATCCTGTTTGGTACTATACTGCGCCCGGGCTTGCCTGGGATGCATTGTTGAAATTAACAAAAATAGAATTAGAATTATTATCAGAYCCMGATATGGTTTTAATGRTTGAAAAAGGAATTCGAGGCGGAGTCAGTATGATTACGAAAAGATATTCAAAGGCGAATAATAAATATATGAAAGATTATGATCCCGAAAAAGAATCTATTTATTTAAAATATCTGGATGCGAATAATTTATATGGCTGGGCAATGAGCAAGCCACTGCCGGTTAGTAAATTCAAGTGGATGAATAAACAAGAAATTAAATACTGGCAAAGACATCCATGTATTCTAGAAGTGGATTTGGAATATCCAAATGAATTACATGACCTTCATAATGAATATCCTATGGCGCCAGAGGATTTATTAGGAAAATTAATACCAAACTTAAATAATAAGGCGAAATATGTAGTTCATCACCATATTCTGAAATTATATTTATCTCTAGGGATAAGAATTACAAAAATTCATAGGNGACAGACTTATCTGTAGTTCTGAACATTTTCTCGATGTCAACAATGAATTATTCTAGCAAACTCTCGTGTTCCGGACAATATGTGGATATGGATATTATGATATTTATATATTTAAACAATTCTCATAATTTTTGCAAAAGGCTGTATAATTCATGTATATGTATATATTTAAAAAACAAATGGTTTTGTTTAAAAAATGTGTCTTCACTTTTTTTTAAAATGTGTCTTCACTTGTGTTTTTAAAATGTTTAAATTTCGTAAAAAGTATTTATTATCTGGATTTTTGTAGTTATTTATGTTATATTTCATATAATATATGTATTTCATTTCGGTGTGTTTTGATGATCTAGTGATAAGCACCCAAAAAGTTTTTTTTTAATTTTCAAAACTACAAGTATCTTGTGTTTTTATTTTAATTGTATTTGTATATACCTTCTAAGATGCCTTGTTTTATTCCAAGGTAACCCAAGCTCTGTTTTCATGGCAAGCCCTTCATCAGGAGGAATATCTAAAGCCAGACCAGCTTCCTTTACAATCAGTTGTCGCTCGTCTTTACGAAGTCTTTCAACGCTCTTTTGGCGCTTATTTGGTCGTCATCATCTGTACTGGAACTTTGCTGTCGGAAACACTCCACCTCAGACGCACGATGTTGTCGAGTTTTTGTACACACTTCAGAGCTATGTTTGTGTGCTGCAGTGGTGACAGAAAGCTTGATAGGCTATGTGAATAAAATGGTTTTCATTTGATCCAAATATCGAAAGTAGTTTGTGTTCGTTGTTTCTAGCTATAACATAATTTTCCCATTACAACAGTTTTATAGTGCAATTTGGGTAGAAACATGTTTAGTTTGTGACATTTGCATCCTCTTTTTATGAAGAACGTATATTTTAGTTATAAATTGTTACTTACCGTTCCTCCTGTTTTCATAAAGATGTGGGATTTATTTTGAGTTAGATTTAACTTCCTTTTAATTAGTTGTGTTGCGAGCCTTTCCTCGTGCTTATCAAGGGGTTCAGTCAATGGTTTGACGAGAAGTTGTGGAAGTGTTGTCGTCGGTCGTTCAGGAATATATTCTTTGCAATTGTATTGGTGATCGTCCAGTTGTTCGAGAGCTATAGGTTGTTTGCAGACGGAACACAGTACCAGAAGTGAGCGCAAGATGTTTATTAGAAGTCGGGGTGCTTGTTGAAGATCGAAGGCAGAGATAGGAGTAACGCAAACGGGGCATTTAGCATTTTCACCRGAGTGTTCCAACCACTTGTGGATACAGTTTTGGCAGAAAAAGTGTTGGCAAGAAGACTGAATCGGCATTGGCAATACTTCTTTGCAAACCGGACACAGAACATCGGGAGGTGGATTTAAAAAGCGCGCAATTTCGGGAGTTGAATTAACAACTTTTGGTGGTAAAACTTCATTTGGTATTTCGATACTCCGTTTGGYGTTTTCAACTTCGACCGCTTGTTTTTTCGGAGGCCGASCTTTYCCACCAGTTTTWTTTCTTTTTCTACCCCCACGCTGTTTGCATTCAAAATATTGGCATATCTTGCAGCYGTCCTCTAAATGCTCGTACCACTTAAAAACGTCAATAGTTCCTCGGCTTAAGTAGCAATTGTTACAAAGTTTGGTAGGGTAAATTTTGGGATCATCAGTAGTAACATCAACTTCATAGGTAAGTAATATTTTGTCCTTGATTTCTGAAGAGGTTGTGCTGTAAAGATAGTTTTTACTCTTTTCGCCTTTGAAAAAACCGCATATACGGMAAGATTTTGCAAGGCAATTCTGGTGGTATTSACACTGTTGCGAAGTGACTGATCCTGACATTGTAACCTGCAATGTYKCAATACCKCCGTGAAAAAAATGTAAATAGAGCAAGGTAGAGAAATTATGAATGTTCATTGTGTATTGTGTTCAGCAATGGCTCACCTTCTCATGGGAAAACTTCCGGTGTTGTAAAAATTTTGTCTTGAAAAGTGACTATTTCGTGCGTTTCCGCGAAGTATCGAAAAGAGATTTTTTCGGCCACTCGACGATTTCACTATATTAAATATGGTTTTTGACCATTTTGAAAGTAACAGCAGTGTAAGAAACAGTGACACTACTAATTTACGTCTYATTTTGATTAAAAATGAAAACAGCGGCGATAATAAAGCGCAAAATTCAAGTCTTACRAAAAATTGAATTTGCCGCCATATTGGTTGCTATGCAGATCCTTCTCCTTAGTTACACCATTTGACCGCGCGCAGGCCTGGAACCGAATGTCGCGAATGAAACACCCGTGAAAGGCAGTTAATGGAATCTTCCATTCTGTTGACAGCACAGCATGGTACCACTGACCATTTTTCTCAACAGTCCCTTGGCCTTGATTAATGGGGGAATCTAGAAAGTATTTAAGTTAAGTTCACTTGACAAATTAAAATGAAATAATGAACAACATTGTTTGTCACAATAAATGAGTGCAACCAAATATTGTAATCATGAACAATACACATGCTGAGCTGATTACTTTTAAAAAAGGGAAATGATAACAGGTTTTCAGTTAATACTGACTGTAATATTGGTTGCTCTGTGATATGTAATCACAGAATAATTGAATTGGAACATTCACCATAATTAAAAAAATAACATTTTTACAAACCTGAATTGTTATTACTTGCCATACACCGCTGCACAAACAGCTGGAAGTTTTCTGGAGCTTTTCCATTCTTAACATTTTTTTATGAAGGGCCTCAACTTCTCTTCTGAGGCCCACAAAGGAAACCTGAAATAATCAAGCCGCCAATGGCAACACAACTCGAAGATTGATTGTGCAGACGAATACARAAAGATRTAATKATGAATSAAATTATAATTACTTAATGAATAGAATTTTAAATAAACGATTTATGAATATAGTTTTATAATTAAACTTAGGTTCTGGATAAACACAAGCGAGCGCCGGTGAGATGAATACCACTAGAGCTACAACTATGAGTAAATGGTGCCACGGCCAGAAGCGCTACATCTGGATCCGAAAAACAAATAAAATCACCGCAAGTGTCAAAAAGCAATAACAACTAAATCCCTAAGAAAACTTGGAGTTCAACAATAAGCAAACAATATAAATTTCAATGTTGGTAGGCGAAAAAATATTGAGTTTGCCTAATAAAAATTATTCGCAAGGAATACCAGAGCAAAGGTGAAGCAAATCGACGAATACTAGTGATCACATGATCACGTGGGCTTCCAACATAAAGAGCTTAAAGTTACATTATGGCTCCATTTCTTCACATTCATTACTGATGAAATTACCCAAAAACTACTAAGTTTGACTTTTGTTTTAGCCACAAATTTTGGGCGATCTTTGGGTAAATGCTGCCACGTCTAGTAGCGCTACAGCTACTACTGTCAGCGAAAGACGCAAAAAAATCACCGCAACTGTCAAAAACCAATAATAACAATCGCTGTCGCTAGTCCAATTAAATCAAACAATATAAACTTCAAAAAACAGCCAAATAGATATTTACTTAAATTGGATCATCAAAGAATCTGCGGTTTAAAGGTATCAATGATTAATTGATACGGTCCATAGACAAAAGATGTTTCATTGAAAGTCTTGGATTTGGTTGAGGAAAACTAGTTTCGTCTTTACTAGAGCTTTTCAATTCCTCGATCTACAACTGTTGTGAATTGAAAATGTTTTGTAAAGTCCAAACTAGTTTTCCTCAACCAAGTCTTTTGTGTTCTGTGCGTCAAAGGAGGGATATAAGTATTTTAACATCCTCTAAAATGAAATATCAAGAAATATGAACTTGGGTTCTCGATAAGCACGGTCCAGCACCTTCGTACAATCATTTTCAAAACGACGAATTTGGAAGATCGTCTTCTTTGCTTGCTTCAACCTTTGTGACTGAACGGTAAGACGAATCAAATTATGATTTACTTTACAAATAGAATTTTAATGGGAATGATTTATGAATACAGTTTTTTTTTCATTAAAACTAATTATTTTTAACTTTGATTCTTGACAACCAGGAGCGAGCACCTGCACTTCAAAGACAAGTCTAACCGCAATTATACGCGTGGCCGAATGGAAGTGCCTTCAATTTCTAAGACCCGTCGACAAGAGCAATTTTTATGTGACAACTATATGTGACATTTTCTTTGTCCGTGTTGACAGGCAGCCAGAAATTACTGTTGAAGACTCGCGCCAACTGTGGTTTTGCACAGCGGAGATGTCAATAAACAAAAGAAATTTAATTACCATAGTTTCGTAGTAGCAGTAGAGATAATAAAACTTTAAAAAATACGATATATTTTTAATATATTTTTTTAAATATATTTTTTGAATATATTTTTAACTTTTAGATTTTTTTAATCTTACCATGTTTCAGAAGAATGAGGATGGCATAATGTAATGCTGAAACATGTTAAAATTAAAAAAATATATCGTATTTCAAATTTAGTTGGTTTTAGCTCTTGCAACAAAAATAATACCATTCTCTCTGTCGAATCCAGTCGTTCTGCTTACTATCGGTGTCACCATCTTGGTTGGTGTGCAAAATGTTGAGACTTGGATTCAGAGGTCTGAAGTTCAAGACTCAGAGGAGCTGACATTTCTTTAGATTTCTTTCTTTGTCAAAACATAAATAAATTCAATCAAATATAGAACAGGGAACACGATGACGGTAACTTAATGAGAAAATTAATAGAGAACAATGAGAATAAATAAATAGTTTTGAACACAAGTAACGCAGGCTCAAGTTTACAGGAAAGTGAGTGAGTGATTGAGTGAGTGACAGATTCGTCCCCCTCCAATAACTCTTCGATTGCTTCGCAATCTTCGAGTTAAAAATAATAACAATAATCAACATGCATCCCGCTTATACTCACGACAATTGTTAAGATCAAAGCACTTTTGACACCTAAAATCAAAGAGCATTTAATAATAATGATAATAATACTAATAATAACGAATTTCTGTTTAACAGACAACCAGAGTAGAGATATAATTCATACTGCTGGTGTTAATTTAACTTAGAGTCGGCCCCATCCAGGAGCTTAGACGCTAAGCACCTTTTGTAAAATGAGGGTGGTCCCAATCACTGCACACGTCTGCATACCACCCAGAACATCTGGGATACCCAAAACTTTTAGGTATCCCACAAACCTACTCGACACAACCCCAAGACAACCAACAACTAATGGAACTACCTTTGTTGATACCCGGTGCATCTTCCTTATCTCCTTTGCCAAAGGTGCATACTTTGCAACCTTTTCATCCTCCTTCAACACCACGTTCTTGTCCCAAGGCACCGAGAAATCAACAAACGTCCACTCCTGGGCCGCCCGATTCAACACAGTAACATCCGGACGATTATGTTCCATCTTCTGTGTTGTCTCGACGCCCCTGTCCCACCAAATCTCTACCTGACCATCCTCTGACACCCTTACCTCATCGGGTACTTCCTTATACCAAACATCAGCACACTTCACTCCATACTTCCTACACAGTTCCCAATACACCCTCAAGCCCATTCTATCATGCCTTCTCCTGTATTCCTTTTGAGCTAGCCC